GTTCCCCTCAGAAACACATTCATATAAACCTCAAATCAATATTTAGGATTTTCTTCCAATAGTTCGTGCATCATGAACAGTGAGTGATCTGCCTGCTACAGTATTTTTCTCTGCGCGTCCGTCTTCAGCGTCTCTGGCCTCTGTTAACAGATGTTTACAGACTTCATATTTTCACATGAATGACATTTGGAAAATGATATGCGTTGCAACGCAGTTTGTGCAAGTCCAGAGCAGAGATCGGCTGCAATAAAACAATAAACGGTCAGTTGCCGATTGCGTAAGTTCCAGAGGAAGCTCCTTCGGCCGTCATACACGCGCACGTGACTGACCACTCGCTCGCACCAACAGGAGGAGGGTCGTGTTACTCTCTACAGTGCACTCAACCTGAGGGATTCCTACACTTTCAGTCTTTGAGGTGACATGCAAAACAGCGCATACCGCAGGAACGGTATAACGGAAAATATTAGCGGTTTTGAAACCGTGACATTTTCAAATCGCGGTATACCTTGAAACCGGTAATCGGCCCATGCCTACTTCAGTGTCACATGATGCTTCAGAAATAATTCTAATATGCTGATTTGCTGGTCAATAAACTTTTCTTATCATCAATGTTGAAAACACTTGTGCTGCTTAATATTTTTGTGAAAACCGTGATAGATTTATTTATTTTTCAAAGTTTTTTTTTTTGTAAATAACATTATAAATGACTTTATTGTCAGTTTTGATCAATTAAATGTTTTCTTGGTGAATAAAAGTATTAATTGGTTTGTAAATGATGACAGTTTTCATTTTGGGGTAAACTATTCCATTACATTTTTTTCTAAATGAGTATAGGACATTGCCATTTGTATCTTATTTGAAAACAATGGCAATGATAAATTATCAGGAACTGTCCCACTTTTCCTGTATTGGTTTAGCAAAGTGTACTTTGTGCCAGACACTGATAAAATATTTTTTTCCTTTTTTGGGTTCTACTCCAAATATTGGCTCTTGATGTTTGCCAATGCCAGTAATTGATACCTTTCTATAAGATATACTCTTCTGTTTGATGATCCTCAGCAAACTTTACATTTGATAATAAACATCATGGTTAATTCAGCACACATTGAGCCTCTGTGTATGTTTAGTGATCAGTACTGTCCTCTGAAACATCTTTATTGCATTGTTGTGCTCGTACTGTTGGTTTGTTTGTCTTACAGGAGTCAGGAAGATAGTGGACTAGTGACAAAAACGGTCACTCTGTCTCTCTCACAACACAAACACCATTAAAGTTAATGATCAGCCATCCACATCCTCTATGTGCGTGTGTCGGGGAGAGAATGGTCAAATGTTAATACACAAGCACTGCATTGTTTTTGTAGTATAAATGTAGGTCATCACATTGTTCTACTTCTAATTGCTCAAACGAGCTCCATTTAAGTATACTGAAATGAACTGCATTTTCAAAACGAGTCGTTTGTAAAGCAGTCAGGTGGATGTTAGATTGTGAGAACGAAAATGCTGCACTATGAGTGTGCAGTGACTAATTGACTTGTTTGTGTCTTCAAAACAATTACAGCACTCTCACTTTAATGTGTGTGCATGTGTGTGCTGTCGCTGTGTGGAGGGTCTTTTATGCAGCAACTTTAAGCTTAAAAACAGGTGTGGAATGGGGTCATTTAGAGTCGTAAGCCGATACGCATGCTCTAATGCTGGCAGCGTGTTATGCACGAGGCTGTAGTGGCAGATGCAGTGACGCATTTGGAGGCAAATGATGTTGAAAGTTGAGTGTGAGGCTTAATATGCAACCAAAGCATTCGTGATGGTATTCTGGCTCCAAGACTGGAAAATGTACTAAATGCATGTTATGTTCAGTGAATATGTCATGTTTTCTGATTTTGACGAATTAATTGGTAGCCTATCTGTTTGCTAGCGTACTCCTAAAAGTTGGCATCTAATATATAATGGACAGTCTTTCTCTACTAGCAAAATGCACTAAAAATATTGATGACTCATCTTTTGCACTCATGGGCGTGTCCGGTTTTTTGTCCAATAAAAATCTCACTAGAATAAATGTTTATACCTTTAGCAATAGCAAGTAGCAAAGAATTAATAAAATCGATGAAAAATGTATTTTAAATTGATAAAATAGTGACAGACATTTTATAATGTTACAAAATAATAATTCTATTTCAAGTAAATGCTGTTTGAATTTTCTATTCATCGAAGAATCCTGTTAAAATAAAAAGAAAAGTCTCACAACAAGAAATGTTTCTTGAGCAGCAAATCAGCATATTAGAATGATTTCTGAAGGATCATATGACACTGAAGACTGGAGTAATGATGCTGAAAATTCAGCTTTACCATCACAGGAATAAATTACATTTTAAAACAAATTAAAATTGTACATTTTAAAATTGTAATTATATTTTTTTTAATATTACTGTTTTTGTTTTTAATGTATTTTTTATCAAATAAAGACTTGATGCGCACAAGTGAGATTAAAGAAAAAAAATCCCAAACTAGTGTAAACTAAAGCCTAATGGCTAATGGCTTTTTTTAAGGACAAAATGAAATTAAGGAAATATGAACTATAATGACAATTTCCGACTCTTTTTCTCTTATCTGTCCTAATTAAATTATGAAATCTAATCTTACCTCATATTGTATGCGCCCACCATTACAAGCAGATGGCTTTGAATTTCACAGAGCAGATATAAATATATTTTTGTTTGGCAGCCAATTCAGTTGACGTCAATGTAGTTTTTTTTAACTCAGTAATAGATGTTATACATTATTTTCTTTATTTTTCCCTTAATTTTCTTTTTCCTTTTCCTGTAACACTGCATGTTGTATGTGCGTTCTTAATTTAAAATGCAGTTTTCCCACATGCAGCAATAACATCAACCATATAATATGGCATTATTAGAGCAGTGGGTGCTTCCTTATGCAAACACATAGTCACACACCCACAACCCTTGATGCAAATGGATTGAGGAAAGCTCTGAATTGTTTATGTAAAAATGGTGGTAATGGACACCCAGTGGCAGAGCCACATGCACGGTTTTATTTACCCAGCCTGTTGTTTGCACTCATTAATCTCGCAACTTTGCAAATACACGTTTCATACGGTTGACTTGCATCTCGTCTCGCACACATGAAAACACTCATTCAGTCGTGTGCGCACGCATCACATATTTGCACGCACTAAATGAAAGGTCATTGTGATCTCTGCGGTTCCAGAGACAGATGCACATTTGTACACTCTGTGCAGAAGACCAATTATCTTACGGCTAAAATAGATTGAGTGATTGTCATGTCATGTTGAGATGACCTTAAAGAGATAATCCAGAAATTAAAACTGTCATTTACTCAATCTCATTCATTCCAAACCCATACTGCTTTGGAGCTGAGAAGCTGCTATGACATCAGTCATGAAATCAAACCCCAATCACGACCGTTACAAATTGATTATATTTCAGCTATTTTTATTCCAGACAGCATTTGTCATTTTTATTTAGTTGAAATTGATACACTAAATAAGTACAAAAGTAAAACTGAAATAAAAACTAAGAAAAATGACAAATACACAACAAAATTGGTTGAAGTTAAAAAGAAAATTATTACAATTATTAAATTGAAAACAAACAAAAAAACTAATTGAAATATTAATAAAACCTTAATAATATCTAAATTATACTAAAATAACACTGCCCTGAAGATGAACTATTAGCGAATATTTAAACTTCAGTCTGTTCCTCTCACAAAGCTATCGTATGTATGACTTCAGACTTACTGTGTCCTGTTTGAAGCTTGAAAGCTTCAGGCCCTTATTATTAATTTTCGAGAGACAATCCCTTTAAATAGCTGGTTCAGCCTCAAATATGAATATTTTAGCACGCTGAATGCTGTTATGATCACAAACACTGGAATGGGTGAGGAATGAAGCTGTCTTTAATTGGCCGGTCACACAGCTTGGGTAGAGCTCACATTGGTCAAGCTGGTCTAACCTCTTTTACTATGGGTTTCTTTTCAGGGATGACAGCAGCATCTTTGATGGGTTGATGGAAGAAGATGAGAAGGACAAAGCAAAAAGGTGATTAGACAAACAAAACATTACGATAATTATAATGATTCCTGAACGGGAATTTCCTTTTTCTTACCTCGAGCCGAACTCCTATTATGAGCCAAGCCTTTATTCCATTATCTCATGCAAGAGTGGTTTAAACATGATTCATTACACCAGAGGATTGTATAGACAGGTCCTTTTTCATGGTAGTATATATAAAGTGGTTTTGCACCAGGAATAGAAACTTAAGTGTGACCTAGTTATGACTGTTTAAACCTGAGTGCACAGCTTCACCCTCATCTTCTGTATACAGTCACAGAACCGTGAAATGGTTTCCCTCAGCATTGCTAGATTTTTCTCAGATTAGATAGCATCCCTTTATCATTTTGAGGAGTAAACTGTAGAATTTAAGATAATTAAGAGTTGACGTGTATTTTAGTGCTTAACTGAGACTTCTGAAAGAAGACGAAATTATGTTATTATCTTCTTATCTTTAAGTCAGCAATTGATTTCCACTGGAATTTTCCACCTCTTACTTTTCCACCTACAGAGTTTCTAGGAACAAGTCGGAAAAGAAGAGGCGAGACCAGTTCAATGTGCTCATCAAGGAACTGGGCACCATGTTGCCGGGCAACACCCGCAAGATGGACAAGTCTACCATCCTACAGAAGAGCATCGACTTCCTGCGCAAGCACAAAGGTTACTGTAATGCCATACCAATTAATTGCAACCAAATTGGTTGCGTGTTTTAAACCAGTAATCATTTGAAAAAGTAAATTTAATATTTTCATTGCCTAAAAGGAAACTTTGGGGGGGAAAAAACTTAGTTAACTAAATTGGAGCAATAATATGCATTTAAATACTACAGAATACTAATCAATTACTGAGAAAATGCTTTTTTTAATTTAAATTTATTTATTTAATATTTTCAGTCAATAATGGTTTCTGTGACTTAAGTTAATTTCACAAGCCAGACTATTTACTATTGATGAATTCTAGCCAAGAACCGCCCACTTAGACAGGAAGGAGCCGTCTGATGACACACAATGACATGTAAAACCTCCACCACGGCTTGCTTTTTTCACTCAACATAGAGGAGTGGGTATTTCTGAAATGTATAAGACAATAGTAGACAACGAAGTGGTAGCTCTTTGAACTATTAGTAAATCAGCCTTCACAAAAGATTGTACAGACAACCCAAAAATATAAATTAAGAACAGTTCTGGACAGATTCCATTTGACTTTTTTTTTTTTTTTTGTGGATGATGCATTTTCTAAAAGTGGTGTGTGTGCTAGACAGAGATTGGTGCAGTGCTAAAAACATCTAAAATATTATAAAATGATAAAATATATTAAAAAGGTAAAAGTGATAATATTAGGTTAGTTTGGGTTAGTTCACCCAAAAATGAAAATTAGCCCATAAATTACTCCCCTTCAAGGCATCCTAGGTGTATATGACTGACTTCTTTCAGACGAATCCAGTTGGAGTTATATTAAAAATTGTCTTTGATCTTTCAAGCTGCTTAATGCCACTCAGCGGGTGTTACAGTGCATCAGTCCAAAAGAAGTTAAATAAAAAGTGCCCATCGTGCGAATCGATGCATTTTTGTAAGAAAAATAACCATATTTAAAACGTAATAATCAATTTAATCTAGCTTGCGCTCACTGTTGAACACTGAAGCAGCTTTGGGCGGATTACGTATGAGGTCATGAGCTGCACTGCAACACCCGCTGAGTGGCATTAAACAGCTTGAAAGATCAAAGACAATTTTTAATATAACTCCGACTGGATTCGTCTGAAAGAAGAAAGTCATATACACCTAGGATGCCTTGAGGGCGAGTAATTTATGGGCTAATTTTCATTATTGGGTGAACTAACCCCTTAAGATAAATGTTAATAAACTAACATTTATCATTTTAAAACTAATGATTTAGGCAGCTGATATTACAAAGTGCATAATTATGTTCTATTTTTTTTATATACAAGTAAACATGTATAATTAATAAAACATTTAGTTTAATAACCTGATGAAATAAAGTTTGTATGTTTTAGTTCTTTGTCCTGTATTTAAAACCGAAACCTTATTGTTTGTATTTTCTTTCCCTCAGAAATTGCCGCACAGTCTGAGTCGAGTGAAATCCGTCAGGACTGGAAGCCGCCCTTCCTTAGCAATGAGGAGTTCACACAGCTGATGCTGGAGGTGAGGACTTACTCTCACTGACACAAACATGCATACGCACTTGCCTAAACCCCCTACTTATGTTTATTCATTCAGTAAACACTAAAACTACAGAACTATTGATATTCTTAATTTGCTCTATTTTTTAGGCACTAGATGGCTTCTTTTTAGCCATCATGACAGACGGAAACATAATCTACGTCTCAGAAAGTGTCACGTCTTTATTAGAACATCTACCTGTGAGTATGAACACACTGCATTTATTTCATCAAAATATCAGTAAAATCAGTAATTTGGTGAAATATTATTACAATTTAAAATAACAGTTTCTATTTTAATTTATTTTAAAATGTGTTTATTCCTGAGATGGCAAAGCTGAATTTTCAGCAGCCATTACTCTAAATCGTTCTAATATGCTTATTTGGTGCTCAAGAAATTTTTTTTATTATTATCAATGCTGAAAATAGTTGAGCAGCTTAATATTTTTGTAGAAACGGTGCTACATTTTTTCAGGATTCTTTGCTAAATAGAAAATTCTAAAGAACTTGCAACATTTTGAATGCTTTATTGTCACTGTTGATTAATTTAATGCATCGTTGATCAATAAAATATGTATTTCTTTAAAAAAAAAATCATACTAATCCAAACTTTTGAATGGTTGCACAACTTTTCAGAACAATAGTGTGACAGAAACGTCCTCCAATTCACTTCATGTTAGAAGTTAGGTCTCTAAATTCATCAGCTTCTAAAAATATTAAAGCAAATATTAAATCTAAATGAATTTGATGATATTGCTAAGCTACTATTTGTGTGGACAACTGGTCCTAACCTCTTAACCCAACCACACTGACAGCAGTTTGCAGCTACAAAGCAACCGAACATAATTCATTTTCAATGAGAGTGGATTGAGCGTCAGTGACCGCTGACTAAACGACAACCGTATGCAAATGAGCAGTATCACAATGCAGTTATGAATACAGTGGCTGATACGGCATCCGTGCATCTGTTACAACAACCCTGCAGCCTCCAGCTATTCATGTGAACAGCTCTACTGTGTGAGTACGAGTGATACTGACGATGTCTGTTGTTGTGTTTTCAGTCTGATCTTGTGGATCAGAATCTGTTGAATTTCCTTCCACTGGGTGAGCACTCAGAGGTGTATAAAGCCCTGTCCACACACATGCTGGAGGGAGAGACCCTCACCCCAGACTACCTAAAAAGTAAGAATCACTCATACATGCTGTGTTTACATGTTTCTCATCTTCTCATGACCAAAAAATTGGTTTCTTCTGGTCTCTCTCTCTCTCTCTCTCTCTGTTATTGTCTCATTTCTTTGAGCACAGATCACTAGACTAGAGCTCATTAATTCTGTTTTCTTGTTTTTGTTTTGTTTTGTTTGCTTCCCTGCAGCAAAGAACCAGTTAGAGTTCTGTTGCCACATGCTCCGGGGCACGATCGACCCGAAAGAGCCGCCCGTTTATGAGTATGTCAAGTTCATCGGAAACTTTAAGTCCCTCAACACTGGTGAGTGTCAGAACGAGTGCCTGCAGCATCAGCCGAGTCTTTCATATGGATCCATTTATTGAATTACCTAGCCAAGTGCTTGCTTGCTTGCTTATGTGAGAGTAGATGGAGCAAGGATCATTATTTGAATAGGAAGTGTTGCGAAAAGCCAGTTTGCCAGAGAAACAGGCTTCTGACCCAGATTTTGAGATGGAAAGTTGACCGTTTTTGGCTTAAGGTGAAGTGTGTAATTTGACGGGCTTCAGTAAACATTATTGTAAAAATAATGAATGATGGTTTTTAAACAGCCTTTGTTTATACAAATAGATATTCCCACCCCAAATTCCCACCATTGGTGGAGCCAATGTTGGTTGGAATGATCAAACAAACAGAGTGATGTTTTTCTCTACAGAGCCGCTGTGTTTACACTTTTCCAGGGAATTGACCTACAAATAGACTTAATTATACAGCAGTTGATGGGGGAGTATTTAAACATCACCTTCGAATAATATGGAATAATTAATAATGTATAAAATAAATACAGGAAATGTTTTAATCTATTATTATTATTATTTCAGCAACAATAAAGATTAGATGAGATGGAAAAAGACTGATGATAAAGTAAACCACTTTAATTAAAATAGATAATACATAAGGATATTCATTATATTCTATTTCAGGAGTTCAGGTTATTAAATCCTTTAAATGCTTAAAGTTTACTAATAAATGTTTAATGGTGGAAAAGTTTAATTTGTCATAGTTTGATACATTTTCGTCCTTTTGCAAATTTTTGCATGAACTATTTTTTGAATACTATTTTTGTAGGTTATTTATGATTCTTCAGAAATCATTCTAATTCGCTGGTTTGATCCTCAAGATGCTTAATACATTTATTATTATCAGTGTTGAAAACTTAATATTTTTGCTTTTTTGTTTTAATTTTGTTAACATTAACACATTTTTTTATCGGTATAAATCAACACGTAACGGCTTTGAGGGAGTTATCCAGCGATCGCTGAGGCCCATGTTCGAAGACCGAGTGTGTTTCATAGCAACTGTGAGGTTAGCCAAGCCTCAGTTTATCAAGGTAGGTTGAGCCAAAGCCGACTTGGCACCTTCTCATTGGTCCTGTGACTTCTAATATTTGCCTGACAGACAGTGACAACTTCACTCAGATCTGTTATGTACATATTCATCGTGACACAGTTTGAATGTATGTGTGTGGGCGTGTTGATAGACACTGTACATGTTTGTGCAAGGATTGCCTTTGTTTTTGAAGACACTGATAAATGACCAGCATGCAAAGCACTCAGTGTGAGAAGTAGGTCACTTGGTTTCTGTTTTCGTTTTTTGTCTGCTAGAAGTATAAGAACGGTCTTGTTTATAACCTCTGTTCGACAGGAAATGTGTACTGTGGAGGAGCCCAATGAGGAATTCACCTCCAGACACAGTTTAGAGTGGAAATTCCTCTTCTTGGACCACAGGTACAAACTTCATCTGTTCTCACGACTGTTTTTGTGAGCTCATTGTCAAGCACACACATCATCTTCCCTCTCCCGGAAAACTAAAGCACCTCTGCTAGTTTGTTTCACTTAGGCCCGGATATTACCTGTCTCAGGTGATCTGATCACTAGAAGTCAGACGAGATTTTACTCTGGATAGAATGTCACCTGTGACCACTTGCGATTGGATTTCAAAGAGAGGATCTCTGATTTCATGACTGTATATCTACTGATACATCACTCTCAGTGTGTTACTACAGTGAGGAACTACTAAGACAGAAGGAAAGAAAGACAAAAAACATGGAAAGCAGGAAAGAAAGAAAAAAGAAGGAACAGAAAAATGAAACAAGCAGCAGAAGTAGAAAATAATGAGGAATAAAGTTGGGAAAATCGATCTAAGGAAGAAAATAAAAGAAAGAAAAAATAACAAATTATTGCTTGTAAAAAAAAAAAAGGTGTGCTTACTTAAAATAAGTTTTTTTTTTAAGTGTACTTGCAGAATATTAATTAAATAAATATCTACTGAAGTGTACATACAGTACACTTTCATGACTGTTTCTGAACACTTGAATACACTTTTTAAAAAAGTGTACTTTGTAATATTGTCAAATTAAAAGCTTTACTTTAAAGTATATTATAAATCATCATGATTTAATAATCCTTTGTCATGCACACTTATTTTGATGTGTTGACTAACGTACTAAAGCACAAGTAAAGTACTTGATTATAATTTTAACTATAATGTTACTTGATATTACAAGTGAATATATTTTATGTACTAAATTGCAGCATTTTCATTATAGTTGTATAATTACAAATATAATTAATAAATATAATTAATATTAATTAATACATGACATGCAAGTTTCAATAGAAATAACATTAAAATATATTTTAGTTTACCATAAATGCTTGTCAGTCCATTTGGCAGTGCATTTTACCCCGAAAGTATGCAAAAGATGTGACTGATCTTGTGGGTACCTCGAAGGTGCATGGTTTTGTTTTTAAGTCGTGTGTAACCATCAAGGTATAAAACCCCCATTTTTTAGCACAGTGGTTGATTGACAGGTGAGTTGGTGACAGATTAGCATTGAGTGCTACTCTACAATTAACTATTTGACTATTTGAATCTGAAGCGCAGTGGTTCCCAACTAGGGGACAAAAAAACAAAAACAAATCCTTATCAATTAATCACAAAAAATGGAAAAGTCATGGGACCCTAGAACAGGGGTGTCAAATTCAGTTCCTGGAGGGCCACTGTACTGTAGAATTTAGCTTCAAACTTCAGGTTTACTAGAAACTTCCAGGCAGGTGTTTTGGGGCTGGTTGGAGATAGACTCTGCAGGACAGTGGCCCTCTAGGATTGGAGTTTGACACATGTGCCCTAGAACATAGTTGTGGATAGTAGGGAGCCTTGAAGTCAAAAAGGCTGAGAACCACTGTCTTAATGCCATTTCTTTACAGTACGGTACTTGGTTTTCAAGGAAGTCCTGCACTTCAGGCTGTGTGAGCCTGTGACGGTCATAATACGCTCCACTTGAGACTGTTCTCAGTTTTTGAAGACATGTTTGTTGTTCATGCTTGCACAGCATGTCTCAGAGTAATCAATAGCTCACGTTCATCCCACAGGCTCAAAGGCTTATACATCTGGAATAACATGAACATAACTTTAATGCCATTATGCTTGGAAAGGTTTCAACTGAATTTAGATGAGTCGTTTCGGAAGAATAGCTGCTGGTGCTGCTGCTACTCTATATTTAATTCGAATCACGGATTCGGTTTAATTGGCACAGATGCTAGATATTAAAGCAAATGATTTTCCACATTATCAGTTGTTTAGCAGAAGCTAGTGGCACTTCAGATCGTTTTATGCTGTTTTTATCCCAAAACATTTTCATATGACTCAAGGAATGCCTGAAAATCTGTTCCAAGAACTCAGTTTTTGCAAAAAATGGCACTGGGTCATTTTAAAATCGTAAATTGTTTAAAATAATAGATAGTCTGAATTTAAAAATGAAGAAGTTGCAGACGTTTTGAATTCAGTTCAGTTTAGTTTTCTACTATAAAAAACATTCTTTCTAGTCATAAAGTAAAACTTTTGTTTTTTATTTTATTTCTTGAAGACAATGGTGATTTTTATTTTTTTTTAAATGGGTTGTCAGTTTAATCAGACATAAATCAATCAAAATCAATAAACTATAACATTTAAAACTTAAATTGTAAAATTTAAATAAAAATCTTTCACAATGAAAATGCATTTAAAGGTAAATTAATAACTTTATTAACTTCAACGTGTTGGGAAAATCACCATGTGCACAGTTGAACAGGTCTGAGCTTTGACCTTGAAAATACTTTTTTCTTTTTTTTTCTTTTTTACAATTCAACATGTTTGTAACATTTGATAACACCAATGACAAGATATCAATGGACAAAGGATCTAGGGTATTCATCAAGAAGGGTATTAATGAAATGCATTTTGTTTTGCTTGTATCACTCTTGTTAGACTTTGCACTAATGCTTAACCTGGGAAGCAAATGAAGAATAAATAAATGAAATAAAATAATAAATAAAAATGAAATAAATAACAGTAATTGTCATAGAAGTGTTATAAAGGGCACAAGGGTTTTTTTCAGACACTTGACAAAATCAAATAATTTTGTAGGATTTTTTTCTGTATTGTTGAAATGTGCAAAATGTTATTTAACACTGTTAGATTATAGAAAAATGCATTTTATATAGAGTTTCTCGACCATTTGAATTATTTTCCTTGACTCAAAGTCAGTGCACATATTTGTGATATATTTTGAGAATGACCCCACTGAATGCATGTATGCAGATGATGTGAAGTTGCATTGTTGTATTTTGCAGGGCACCCCCCATCATAGGCTACCTACCCTTTGAGGTTTTGGGCACTTCAGGGTACGACTACTATCATGTGGATGACCTGGAGACCCTGGCCAAGTGCCATGAACACTGTGAGTTCAACTACTGTTTGTGTGTACTCGTGTCTCCCCACTTTTAAAAATGGACAGTGCTTTGAAATTTATGAATGAATGGCACTGTCTTGAGTTTAGACTTTGTAATAATAAGATCTCTCTTTCTCTGTAGTGATGCAGTATGGTAAGGGGAAGTCGTGCTATTACCGTTTCCTGACTAAAGGTCAGCAGTGGATCTGGCTTCAGACTCACTACTATATCACCTACCACCAGTGGAACTCACGGCCGGAGTTCATCGTCTGCACGCACACTGTGGTCAGGTGAGAGTTTCAGAACACGTAACGTTTGAACTACTAACAAGAAAGAAACTTTTTTTTAAAAAGTTTTTTTTTAAAATAATGTCTTTTTCTTTGTCTCAGTTATGCTGAAGTGAGGGCTGAACAGCGCAGAGAGCTGGGCATTGAGGAATCACCTCCTGAGATCTCAGCAGACAAGGTGAGACATTTCTGAATTCAGTTCTAAATCCCCATTTAGCCACCAATATAACAGGCGAGTTTGTAAAGTATCAATAAATACATTTATTTACGCAGACATTTCTGTATACATTTGATTAAATATTATACTATTAATAGTAATTTTAAATAACTTGTTTATTTTAATGAATAATCGTTTAATTCTAATATTTATTATTTATTCATATAGATTTAATACATTTTGTTTATATTTTTATTTATTTATTCAATTCTAAATTCCCATTCATCCTCCAAATATAATAGACAAATATGTAAAATGTATTAAACTAATGTATATTTATATTTTATCCAAGTTATTATTTTAAATATTTAATATTTGTAATATTTCATGTTCTTATTTTATTAATAATTTATTACATTTTAACATGCAAATAAATATCCTTCTCTGTATTTACACAAATTCAAATTCATCATTCATAAAAAAAAAAAAACATTTGTTACATTCAAACTATATTAATTTTATAAATTGAATACATTTATTTATAGTTTATATAATTATGTTAGATTAATAAACCTTTCAATGAACCTTTTCATTTTTTTTCCCCCCGTATTATTTTCTGTGATAATCAATACTGTGCCACAAATGCTTTTGATTGCACTGAACCCAGAAACACCCTTTAATCCCACTCTGTTTCACTCTGCTCAGTCTCAGGACTCCGGCTCTGAGTCCCAGTTGAACACCTCCAGCCTGAAGGAGGCGCTAGAGCGATTCGATCACAGCCGCACACCCTCCGCTTCATCACGGAGCTCCCGAAAGTCCTCCTCACACACCGCCGTCTCGGACCCTACGTGTACGTATACATACCAAAGAGTGCTCCAAAAAACACAGCCATAGCATGTTAAGATGTTTACACACATTTCAGCGCTGTGACTGACCCATATATGTTTGTGTGTCTGTAGCCACACAGACAAAGCTGCAGACAGACCATAGCACACCCCCCCGCCAATTAGTGTCAGCCATTGAAATGACATCACAGCGGAGGTCCTCTATTAGCAGTCAGGTTGGTATATGTCATGAATATAGAACTCGGTGAAATAGTGTCCAAACACAAAACCCATCTTAATATTGAAATAAACAACAATGTAGGATAAGAAGAGCAAATTATAACGTAACATGAAATTGTCCACACTGAGTATTGACTCGACCTTTTGTGTCGTCCCTCTTCAGTCAATGAGTTCTCAGAACACAGGACAGACGATGGCAACATCTCTTGTGTCTCAGCCTCCGCAGCCTCAACCACTTCAGCCCAGTGTGCAGGTAATTCAATATACCTATTACTGCATTCAATACTATCACTCTTATTAAAGTTCGGGTCTTTGAGTGCCTGGTGCCACTAAAGCGAGCATGGTGGTCGATGTATGTATATATCTAATTAACCCTTGACACGTATAATTAATGAGATGTATCCCATTCTTTGATCTGTCACTGACCCAGAGAGAGGAACTGACTAAACTGTTGTTTTTTTAATTAAAGAAACAGTTCTTTTCAGCGACACAGTCTGTTTCACAATAAATAATGATATGTTATCACAGATGTATTAGTATAAAAGGTTATAGTTTGTGTAGTTTGCACACTTATGTTGGTGGAGGTGACCAAAAGTATAAGTGTACACTACCATTTTTAAAAAGGAAATTAATACCTTTATTCAAAATGCCTATTTTTGTTCTTTTGAACTTTCTATTCATCAGAGAATCCTAAATCAAGGATATTAAGCATCGCAGCTGTTTTTTAACATTGATAATAATAAGAAATGTTTCTTTAGCAGTAAATCAGCATATTAAAATGATTTCTGAAGGATCATGTGACACTGAAGACTGGAGTAATGACTGCTTTGGCATCACAGGATAAATTACATTTTAAAATATATTCAAATAGAACGCAGTTATTTGAAATCACAATCATATTTAATAATTTAATAATTAATCATAATAATTTATGCATTTAGCAGACGCTTTTATCCAAAGCGACTTACAGTGCATTCAGGCTATACATTTTTTACCAGTATGTTTCAATATATATTTCAAAATATTACTGTTTTTACTGTATTTTTGATCAAATAAATGCATCATTGGTTTCTAAACAATAAAAGATCTTACCAACCCCAAACATCTACTGAATAAGCTATACAAATAACTTTGGGATGCAATTTTTTCCCCAAAATATATTTATTGGTATTTGAACATTAGAACAAAACACAATTTAAAAAAAAGGATACTAATATTTACATTTTAATAGATATATTTTCTCTAACAGGCTTCGGTTTCCACGCTGCTTTGCAGTATTGGCAAACATTCACATATATTTATTATTAATTGCTGTTAATAGTGTTCATCATCTGTTTGATTACGTCTTTAATTGATTTTTCCGTACATTTCTGCTATATGTACATTAACTGACAGTCACCACTGATAAGCTACTACTAAATATATCGTAGAAACTTAATTTTCTATTTTTTCTACGATTTGTATCGTGAAAAGCACTATACAAATAAACTTGAATTGAATATTCATTGCACAAGTATTAAAATCACATTTTAGGTTTATTTAAAATAGATTTAAGAATCTGAATATTAGATATTCTACAGTCTACATTTCACGTATAATTAATGAGATGTATCCCATTCTTTGATCTGTCACTGACCCAGAGAGAGGAACTGACTAAACTGTTGTTTTTTTAATTAAAGAAACAGTTCTTTTCAGCGACACAGTCTGTTTCACAATAAATAATGATATGTTATCACAGATGTATTAGTATAAAAGGTTATAGTTTGTGTAGTTTGCACACTTATGTTGGTGGAGGTGACCAAAAGTATAAGTGTACACTACCATTTTTAAAAAGGAAATTAATACCTTTATTCAAAATGCCTATTTTTGTTCTTTTGAACTTTCTATTCATCAGAGAATCCTAAATCAAGGATATTAAGCATCGCAGCTGTTTTTTAACATTGATAATAATAAGAAATATTTCTTTAGCAGTAAATCAGCATATTAAAATGATTTCTGAAGGATCATGTGACACTGAAGACTGGAGTAATGACTGCTTTGGCATCACAGGATAAATTACATTTTAAAATATATTCAAATAGAACGCAGTTATTTGAAATCACAATCATATTTAATAATTTAATAATTAATCATAATAATTTATGCATTTAGCAGACGCTTTTATCCAAAGCGACTTACAGTGCATTCAGGCTATACATTTTTTACCAGTATGTTTCAATATATATTTCAAAATATTACTGTTTTTACTGTATTTTTGATCAAATAAATGCATCATTGGTTTCTAAACAATAAAAGATCTTACCAACCCCAAACATCTACTGAATAAGCTATACAAATAACTTTGGGATGCAATTTTTTCCCCAAAATATATTTATTGGTATTTGAACATTAGAACAAAACACAATTTTAAAAAAAGGATACTAATATTTACATTTTAATAGATATATTTTCTCTAACAGGCTTCGGTTTCCACGCTGCTTTGCAGTATTGGCAAACATTCACATATATTTATTATTAATTGCTGCGGCGGTCTCAACCTCGGCTCAGTGCAGCTGACGCAGGGATCATCCGTGCAGTCAGCGGGCTCTCTGTCCATGCAGGGGGCGGTGGTGCCGACAGGAAGCCTACAATCCACACATACAGGGACACAACACACTGTCACACAGCATCCTCAGCAGGCACCGCCACAACAACAGAACCTTCTCAGAGATCAGAGCTCCAATCTAACTCAGGTGAGACAGTGAGCTTTTCTATGAAAATGCATTTGAAAAATAGCAACGGACGTGGCAAAAAATGTACTATGAATTCAAATTTATTTGTAAAACGTGAGACATTTTCATCAAAGCAATATTTGTTTTCCATATTAAATTCTTTATTTAGCATATTTAAATTAGCATATGTAGTTTATTGGGATAAAAAAATCAAGTTTAGTCCTTTATATTACTTTATGACAGGAAATCCCATCTGATTGTCATTAACTAAAACTAAAACTAAATTTTAATAAGGTTGAGATGAAATAAACTATTTATATTAGATAAAAAACATTAGAAAAATTTTATCTTGACAACTAACTGAAATACTTTCTCCTAACCCTGAATGAATATAAAAACTGAACTTAAACTAAATTAAACCTAAATAGTAATATAAAAAAAAAAAATGACAAAAGCACATAACAAAATGACTAAAATAAAAATAAAAATATAAACTGAAAATATAAAAATAAAAAACGAATTAAAAATATTAATACAAATTATAATAGTATATAAAGCATTCTAAAAGAACACTGCTACATTACTATGTTTAGAAGAGTGAAAATGTGCAGTTTTGCTGAATATTCAACCTTATAAATTCAAAAATGTCAAAAACTTCTCTGTAAATAAAATCTGTGGTAGGTTCAGATAAAAAAGATAAAACAGCCTTCTTCTATTAAATGCAAAAGTATATAAATAACATATAATATGCTGTGTACATAGAAGTGAATATATAAATGTGTATCTGTCTGTTTTTTTTTTAGCAGTCTCAGAGGTCGTCTCACACACTGCAGTCTCCTCAGGGAGCACTGCCTGCATCTTTGTATAATACCATGATGATCTCTCAGCCTACGCAGGCCAACGTTGTGCAGATCTCCACAAGCCTAGCCCAGAACAGCAGCACCAGCGGAGCCGCGGTTGCCACCTTCTCACAAGACCGGCAGATACGGTACATGAAACACTATTACAAACACACACTGAAACTTTGCCTCATTATATACATGAAGTGCACGTACCCAGTTAAATAAGCACATTAGAATACTAAACTAACTAAAAAGAATCATTAATCTCATGTCTCCTCCATTTCCTTTTTATAAATATAGCTTCTTTGCAGGCTATAAAAACCTATTGGTTATTTACTAATGAACAATAAAACATTCTTTGAAAATGCCTGGGGACTCCTGACCATGTCATGGTACAACTGATCCCAACAGAAACTCATAACAAAGCTAACTAATAACCTGTTGTCCTGCCTCCCACAGGTTCCCTGCTACCCCACAGCTCCTCACTAAGCTAGTAACCGGCCCAATGGCGTGTGGTGCAGTTATGGTGCCTACCACCATGTTCATGGGGCAGGTGGTGACTGCGTTTACCCCTCAGCAGGGCCAGGCTCAAACAATCAGCATCGCCCAGCAGCCATCTGCGCATATGCAGGAGCAGCAGGCTCAGACGCAGTCACAGACAGCTACAGGAACCGCCCAACAGCAAGGACAGGCCCAGGCTCAGCTTGCCCAGCAACAAACGCAGTTCCTACAGGTAACCCTCCCACACGGAGAATTAAGACCCTTTTAGCATTCAGATGACTACTTGACTGTAGCGTATTTTTGGTCAACTTATTGATTAAAGAGAGTTCCGTGAAAAATGAAAACTCTTTAATCATTTACTCATGTCATGAAAAGTGAAACCTGGAAGAATTTGCTGGTAGTTCTTTTACAGACAGTTACAATAAGTGAGGACTAAAGCTTCAAGCTTCAAAAGGACGTTTAGACCAGCAGTCATTCATTTAGTGTGTACTGACACTATGCGTTTTGAACCGTGCCCGAGGGCGTTTGTCCCTCAAAGCCTGGTTCGTTTGACTAGTGTGAGCGCTTCGTTCCGCGTTCGGCCCGGTTGGAAGAGGTGGACCAGGGCACGGTTCGGTTGGGCTCGGGCACGGTACGCATGTAGTGTGAACGCTAACCGCACCGGAGCACGGAAAAGATACTATTTTGTGTGCGCTACTGTCATCATTACGACCGCAAACATATACTATTACTACTACTACACTACAGTTTTCAGTTCATTTAATTCAATCAAATATATTTACGTTTATGATGGGTCTGGTTCTCACCTTATTGATGAACTGGAATTGTAGTCTGCGATTTAAAGCTGCAAATTCTGTCATTAACGTCAGCTGCCTCTGTAATAATTTTCTGATACTTACAAGTAAAAATCAAGGCACGGTATAAATTACAAATTTATTAGGCAGAATATTAGCGAACGTGGGTTTCTCCATCATCTCGCACATGACGTAAGCATGCTCCAGCCCGGAAAGTTTAGTGCAAGTGTGAGTGCAGGCCAGCAGGGGAGTGGGCCTGCACTCAAACGATCAAACGAGTTTTTTTTCTCGTTTGATAGTCGTTTCATGTGTATGTGTGTCACAATAGTGAGGGAAAACACTGTCACAATTTTATTTTCATACTGACAATTTTGATGAAAATGGAGAGCTAGGGTGGCTGTGAAGATTTGCTATGAATAATGACCTAAATCCCTGCCTCTTCCTCACACAACCCTATCATATGACTCTAGAAGACTTCGAATACAGCACAGAAGTTCTGTGGACTACTTTTATAGTGCTTCTGCATCTTGGTTTGAAGCTTAAGAGCTGAATGAAAGAAGTCTGCCAATTTATTCCAAAAATTTTTAAAAAGTGATTTAAATTTTGTGACAGATATTCCTTTATTGAAAAAAGTATGTTTTTCTAATCTGTGTAGCTGAAAAAGACTTCCTGCCCTTAAGTTACTAAAGTAGAATAGAATAGAATAGATCTGCATGTTTTTAAAGGATATGCAGACACACACATTTACAATGTATAAATATATATTTTTAATTCATTTTAAATTATAAATGTATTCAAATCATGTGATAGGTTTCTCAAAATGTTAAAAATTTTGTAAAATATAATAAATAAATTCTCTCTCTTTTTCTCTCTCTCTCTCTCTTTCTCTCTCTCTCTCTATATATATATACACTACTGCTCAAAAGTTTGGGATCAGTAAGACTTGTAATGTTTTTTAAAGAAGTCTCTTATGCTCATCAAGGCTGCATTTATTTGATCAAAAAATACAGAAAAAAACAGTAATCTTGCAAAATGTTATTTCTCAAAATGTAGAATGATTTCTGAAGGATCATGTTACACTTTATCCTGGAGTAATGGCTGATGGAAATCCAGCTTTGCTTCACAGAAATAAATTATATTTTAAAGTATATTAAAATAGAAACCATTATTTTATATTGTAATAACATTTTGCAGTTGTAATTATTGAATTTATACACATTAAATATTACATATATGTATGTAATAAAATGTGTATTTCCATTACAGGTTTAGGTCTTAAATTTCATATAAGGTGGTATTAAAAAGGTCTTAAAAAGTCTTAAATTTAACTTGTTCATGTCTGCAGAAACCCTGTATATATATATATATATTTATTTATTTATATTTTGCATTTCGTTCTGCAGGCCCTTCGTCTTTTACATGGCACCCAATCTGCCCAGCTGATCCTTCAAGCGTTTCCCCTGCAGCAGCAAGGCACCTTTGCAGCCGCAACACAACAACAGCAGCAGCAACTGCAACAGCAGCAACAACAACTGCAGCAGCAGCATCAACAGCAACAACAACAGCTGCAACAGCAACATCAACAACAGCAGCAGCAGCTGCAGCAGCAACAGCAGCAACAACAGCAGCAGCTGCAGCAGCAACTGGCAGCTCATCGCTCAGACAGCATGGACCGGTCCAACGCGCCACCTCAGTAGCTGACCGTATGTCAGAGACGCAACCAAATCACCACTGAGCAGTCCTGCAGGCTGAGAGGCTTCTGAGGGGGATGTTTGGAGCTAAAAAAAATTGTGTGCCCTCTCAGATACCTTTCCACTGCTTATAGGTGAAGGGCCAGACCTAAACGGGTGTCTTTTTTTAACCCCGTGCCCTATTCGACCTATAGGTAGTTGATCAACAGCTGCTTGCACTGAATTCTGGGAGAGGTCCAACCACGAATGCCGACCTTTCTGCGGGCTGGCAAGGAATCAGCGGTATCTGGTTTTCCACAAATTGTCTCCTCCACAATAACCGCTTTCCCTTTGTCTCGTATGCCCAGTGTGTGCCGTCATCCCTCTTTCACAGGTTTAATTTATGCAGAACGAGCTGCAGCGAAGGCTTCAAGACCTGAAGAAGTCCTGCAGGACAAACGGCGCCTCTCTCTTTCTCTCGGGCCTCTCTTTCTCTTCCTCTTTCCTCCTCATTTTACTTGTCGCAAGTAATTATGGGTCAGAAAATATTTTTAAGAATGTCACGTGGATTCAACTTTTATTGTACAGTTCACCTGTAAAATAATGTGTAAATATATGGACAAAAGGAAAGAGAAACTAATATTTTATATGATGCATGAGACGAAAAGCGTAGTCTGTTATTTGTAGCTTTGAATATACTTTTTTTTTTCTAATATTCTGAGGAAAAAAGCTAAACTTAATACACATAATGGTTGATCTCTTCACAGACTTCCTTTTTCCAGTGGGATGGGGGTGAGTGTGTGTATGTGCTTGCGCACATGTGTTCGTATGTATGTGTGTCTGCCAAGCAGGCAATGCTGGATCCACAGATTGTGTCACAGTTGGTTTAAAACGGCCTTCGTGTTTTAGTAAAACTGTTAAAGGAACAGGCAATCTTTAGATGTTTTGCATCGTGTTATACACCTTAGTAATTGAAAATATATAGATATGAATATTTCAGAGAGATGCTTTACATTTGTAAATAGTTTAAAGAGAAGGCTTCAGATTTAGTATATCATGCGGTTAGGCAAAAAAAGAAACGGTGCTTTGACTGTTTAGCGCAGAATCATTACGGCTGGCAGCGGCCATTCGCTATTAAGTACCAATGATACAAACGCACTCTGCTGAACTGGAACTGATGCTTAAACCAGCAGGGTTATGATGAGGAAAAATATAATCGCATAGTGTGTATGATCCTGAATGATACAGGTAAATTAGCATAAGGCTAAGCCATAGCTTCTTCTAGTTTTACAATGGTTTACATGGTTTACACTGTTAAACAGTGTTTTAGGTATGATTCGCTAAATAGGTTTGAATAACCAGAAATATAATTTTACACAACCAAACCTGTTTATCATCTAGAGATAGTAAATATCTCATACATATTTGCACAGCTTTAATGCAGGAATACTTTCACTTGCCTTTCTTGGGTCTCCGCTCGTTGACAAACGATGACATTTCACAAGTTCATGATAGTGACTTGACTTTGCAAACTTCTTCCACTCAGCTCTGGAAAAGCAGGAATGTATCGGTTCACTAGTACCTCTGTAACGCTGACATTGTCACTAGCAACTTCTAGCTCTTTGCCCAAAGCACAGAAAACAATCCTAATGTTGACAATCTGATTCTGTTTATTGGCCCCTGTAGTATTACAATTCAGATATGCCAGATTGTAGTTAATTAGTTGATTAATATGCTTGACAAGACAAGTTTCCCCGAAGTTGCTCTGAGACGTTGTTTGTAGTTAGCCATCATGAATGTTCTAAAAAGTAATAATTGTTTTCCTCTAGTCAAATGGGTCACACCATTAGTTTAATATATATATATATATATATATATATATGAATGATGAATGGAACCTTTTTATCCTTATGAAGAAAATTTAAACACTTTTTCTTTTTTTTCTTTTTTTAAATAAAAGCTCAGTTTTATCAACAGGTAGCACTTATGGAGGACAGATTTTGTATTTTATGTATTGGTCTTGTGAGTCATTATTATTAATTGTTTTAATTATTATTCTAATCATCAGTGCACTAATGGGCAATATTGAGTGAGTGAGTGAGTTACGTGTAGCCACGTATGGTGTCCCATACTAGGAATTTGTGCTCCGCATTTAACGTGGGTCACACTATTTGTTTAATATATATATATATATATATATATATATATGAATGATGAATGGAACTTTTTTATCCTTATGAAGAAAATTTAAACACTTTTTCTTTTTTTTCTTTTTTTAAATAAAAGCTCAGTTTTATCAACAGGTAGCACTTATGGAGGACAGATTTTGTATTTTATGTATTGGTCTTGTGAGTCATTATTATTAATTGTTTTAATTATTATTCTAATCATCAGTGCACTAATGGGCAATATTGAGTGAGTGAGTGAGTTACGTGTAGCCACGTATGGTGTCCCATACTAGGAATTTGTGCTCCGCATTTAACCCATCCAAGTGCACACGCACAGCAGTGAGTAGTGAACACAGCCATTTTTGCTGTGGCGCCCGGGTAGCAGCTGGGGGTTCAGTGCCTTGCTCAAGGCTGCACACCTCAGTCGTGGTATTGAAGGTGGAAGAGAGCATTGGTCATTCACTCCCCCCCAACTACAATCCCTGCCAGTACTGAGACTCGAACCCGCGACCTTTGGGTTACAAGTCCGACTCTATAAACTTTAGGCCACGACTGCCATATTGCCTCGTCAGGTTAGTACAAGGAGACAGGTGTAGATAATTCCAATATTTTCCATATCAGACCTCACTATATATGAAAGTGCCAGTCTGAATGTTCGGTTTGTGCGGGATGTTAAAGCCAACCACCCGGAGTGCTGGTCCAATCACAGTTCATGTTGCAGTATCCACACAATAGCAGAATAACTCAAGTGATCTATGATAATGCAGTATGTAATCTAACTCACCCTGTTGTTCTTTTACCCTTCGAGTCAGTCCTATGGAATATGATGGTCACTAATGTGTTGTTTTTTGTGGTCATGTAAAAGTAATGGATGGCTGTACATTTCAGTACCATAGAAATTTTATGATGGCACGGCTAGAATGAGCAAGGCGAGATTATTGATTGAATGTAAAACTGTCACTTAGCTTTATAGTAACATTTAAAGACGAATATATTGAAAAATTAGATGTTCTTATTTTTCTACAGCAAGATCAGAACAGAGAATTTATGCAGATAGACTATAGTTGATGTGTAAAACAACTGTTATACACCTTTTGCTAGGAAAGGGAACCGAAAATTAAGCTTACTCCATATTGTAACCTCAAATGAAGGATTTAAACAAACTGTGACACAATGGAGGACCAGTTGAACTTTCTCCCCCACAATGCAGTTGGATTCAGGAAGTGGTTGTTTTAAGGGTTTTGCCCGAGTAAGAGAGGTCATGCATGTTTGTTGCAGACTCCTGCTTATGTTTTGGGGTACTTGAAGGTAATACATGTTTTAAAAAAAGTCTTGCTTAAAAAGTATAGGACACATACAAATTCAGGCTGGGTCGAAAATGACCTGATTAGGGCTGGACAATAATTCAATATCAATATGTATCGCGATATAATTTTTTTCAATAACGGTGATATGATTTTTAAACACATTTCCGATATTTCGATATACATTACCAGTGTTTCCCATACATTGATTTATTTGTGCCGTTTGACTTCGTTGAATAAACATGAGCGCTGCACGTTTCAAAATCATAACACGGCGCGGGTGTTTTATATGAATGTATCTCTGAAGGGAATTGACTGTCTTCAGAAAAGTTTCGATGGCATTTTCATTTGATCTGATAAAGAAGCGTTCATGAGCGGAGATGCTTTGATTACAGCCATTACTGGAGAAACCGCTAGTTTTAACACTCTAAAAGCGCCTCCTGCTGGCAGAGAATGAGTTTTCATTTGTGATGATAAAGGCATTTATAATGTTACAAAAGATTTCTATTTCAGATAAATAGTGTTCATATCGATATCGGAATTATATCGTATCGACCGAAATTAAGAAATATATCGTGATATCAATTTTGGCCATATCGTCCAGCCCTACTTCTGATACATAGTGCATCCTCTTGCACAGGCATCAGATGTCTGTTGTGATGATGTTTTAGAGTTCAAGGGGTTTGTTTTCAGCTCTGATTTGTATTATGTCAGCCCTAAGGTAACAGAAATACTACAGCTTCCTCAGGTTGGTTCAGAATAATAACAAATCCACATCAGTCTTGCCCCTCCTTTCTCTTCTTTACTTGATTTTGTGATAGTGACCTCTTCAATAACACACATTCTTCTGCATTTACCGTAAAGAGTCACAAAAAAAAAAACAGGATGATACAAAATGGTTGCCCTTTGTGTACCTCTGAATTGTCTGTTGTGCTTGATGCAACTCAGCTGGCATTTAGCAATTAACCCAAAGAGCTCTGAGGAAAGATGGGAGAGCGTGGCGAAATCCTGTTGAATTTGTTTTTGAAATATTAAAAGCGCCCAGTGGAAAAGGTGGTGGTGAACCATGTTAAATGTTTTGTAGTTCTGATGTATGCACTAGAAGTTCTGAATGTCTATCAGTGTTCTCTTGCTATCATTTAATCGTTGTACGTGTGATGTTCTTGCAGAGCACTTGTGTTTGGCTCATGAAATTTATCTGGTCAGTACACGTTAATGTGGAGGAAAAATAGAAAATTACTTAAATATATACCTATAAATAGGTTTAAACTCTCACCATTCATTAGGTTTCTTTAAATTTTAACGCTCCATCAGGGGTTAGCAGAGCATAGCTCTGTTTTCCTGAACTCAAAAGAAATCTGTAATATCAAAAAACAGTGTGCTGTATTGGGTTCATTTTGTGAGCCAGGCCATTCTTACATTTAACAATGAAATAATGGAACCTTTTTAAACAAACAGTGCCGTTTACTCCCCTTATTCAATTTTGAAAATAAAATTATTTAAATATATATATATATATAAATATACATTGTATTGACTGTTTTTATTCCTATATTTTTGGGTGTGATTGTTTTCCTCTAAATAAGTTTCATAAATTAGATTTGTGCTTTGGTTGAAGGGATTTTTCCAGTGAGTCAATTAATCATTCACTCGACCGATTAATTCAAGTAAAGATTCAAATCAGGAATAACTACGCCACTGTTGCTAGGAGACGATCACCAAATCCGAACTTTGGAAAACAGACAAACATCCTGTTAAAAATGTAACTCATGCTGCGTTCTCGCCATGTCATAATAGACTATGCACAATCACTTCCACGTTTTGCCTCAGCAGCCAGCTCAGTTACATCTGGTGCAGTGCCAGAAGCCTTGACCCATCTGTCTGCTTGTTTGTCCATAGCGAACATAGACTTCTTTGTAAATACACAACAATGTATGGGGCGTAGGGGGTCTGGATAGTACCTTTGCTGTCCGGCAGCTGCACCCTACCTGGTAGGGTGGACGGACAACACTGGTCCTCATCCATCTCCTAAATCTATCACATGCTGGTTCCACGTGCCACACCCTGGCAAACCGCCTCAGCTGGCGGGCTAAACCACGTGAGGGGGTGATGTTCACACTGCACCACTAGGCGGATGAGCTGCTTCTGGCAGCCAACGGCTAAAGGGCGGAGGAGATCCTGGACTGATCCAACGGCCGAGTGTGGGGGAGTAAACCCCCAAATCAGGAGTGGAGCCCCGAAGGCGGACAGATGCCTGTATTCACGCACTGTTCCGGCAGCTCCTGCAGCCAAGCTGGTGCCAAATGTACTGCTCTGCATTTCTTTGGACTACATCGGTGAGGCCGAGAGGGGGATCTCGACGACTGGGCATCTCAGGATCTCCATACACTCCGCCCAGGCTTGCGCCCTGGAGAGGTCACTCCAGTATCGCTGTTCCAGCGACAACACAATACGGGAGACGGCAGTTACGAGTTATAA